CGACCTCGCCGAGGCGCGCCTCGGCCGCGCGGCGCGCGGCGTCGGCCGCGTCGCGCGCGGCGGCGGCGATGGCCAGGGCGTCGGCCGCCTCCCGGGCCGCGGCCGCGCGGCCGACGGCTGCGTCGTCGCGCGCCGCCGCGCCGGCGGCCACGGCGCGGCGGAGGTCCCGGACCTCCGCGCGCGCGCTCTCGAGGTCCTCGAGCCGCGCGGCCGCCGCCTCCTCCGCCGCGGCCGTGCGCGCGCGCTCGCGCGCGCTCTCCTCCATGCGGTCCGACGCCGCGACGGCCGCCGCGTCGAGCGCGGCGAGCATCCGGCGCTCGACCTCCTCGAGGTCCGCGAGCCGCGCGGCCGCGCCGGGGTCCCCTGCGCGCGGCGGCGCGCGCGGACGCGCTCCGGGGCGCCGCGGCGGGCTTCTTGGCTGTGTCGGGCTTCTCGGCCGCGTCGGGCTTCTCGGCCGCGGCGGGCTTCTCGGCCGCGGCGGGCTTCTCGGCCGCGTCGGGCTTCTCGGCCGCGTCGGGCTTCTCGGCCGGCGCGGGCTGCTCGGCCGGCGCGGGCCGCTCGGCCGCGGGCCGCTCGGCCGGCGCGGGCCGCTCGGCCGGCGCGGGCTTCGCGGCCGCGGGCCTCGCGGCGGGCCGCGCCCGGTCCAGGAAGACGAGGTCGGGCACGCCGCCGGACCGCGCGCCGCGAGCGGCCGCGAGCGCGAAGCGGCTCGGCCGCGCGCCGGCGCCGTCGCCCAGCCGCGCGTTGAGCTGCGCCGCGCGCGCCTCCGCGAGCCGCAGCTTCGCGGACCGCTCGCTCCGCAGCTCCTCCGCGGCGCTCGCCCGCCCGTCCGTGTCGTTGTCCACGTTCTCGTCCCGGGCGCTCACCGCCGCCGCCGCCCGCTGCCGCGCGAGCACCTTCGCCCGGCTCCAGGCGCCGGACGCCGACGCCGCCGTCTCCGACGGCGGCGCGAACCGCCCCTTCGACGACCGCTGCAGCGCGAGGCGCGCGCCGACGCCGTGCGGCCGGCTCATGTATTCGAACGGCGGAGAGCTCGTGTTACCATGCGCGAGTGGCTCAACCATCACCTCTGGAGCAAGACCAACCGACAAAATCAACTTGTAATGCTCTCCCTTCAACTTAGAGTTTCGGCTCGTCGAATCGCGGCCACACCTTCGGGGGCTGCTGCTGGAAGCCTCCGCGTCGAATCGCGGCCACACCTTCGGGGGCTGCCGCCGGAAGCCGGGGACGCCGCCGGCCATGTCCCGCCTCTTCATAAGGGCCCGCGCGCCCAAGTCCAAGTAAAAACCGCGCTCGACGTCGCGCCTCATCACGCGCGCCGTGCCCGCCGTCTCGATCGCCGTCACGCTCTACCTCTGGGTGCGGACCTTCTCGCCGGCGCCCGTGGGCCTCCTCCACTGGAACGGCGGCGAGCCCTACATCTGCCCGCGCGTCACGGTCTGCGCCGAGGACTGGGTCGCGCTCGGCCTCCTCGGCGCGACGCGGACGCTCGCGTACCTGTGCTACCCGCTCCTCGTGCTCCTCTTCCTCGGCAAGGCGAACAACCTCGTCTGCGCGCTGTCGCGGTCCGTCGTCGGCGTCTACGTGCCCTTCCACCGGCTCCACGAGCTCCACACGTCCGCGGGCGTCGTCGCCGGCGCGGCGTTCGTCGCGCACGGCGCGGGCCACGCGGCGCGCTGGGCCCGCCAGGGCAACGCCCGGCTGCTCTGGGCGTCGCAGACGGGCCGCACGGGCGCGGTCGCCGCGCTGCTCACGCCGCTGATCGTCGTGCCCATGCGGAGCGCCGCGTGCCGCGCGGCGCTCCGCTGGGAGCTGCGGAAGGCGCTCCACTACCTCGCGGTGCTCTGGGGCCTCCTCGCGGCGCTCCACGCGCCCAAGTCCGTGTCGCTGCCCTGCGTCGGGATCCCGCTCGCCGTCTACGCGGGCGACTGGCTCTACGGCCTCCTCTTCCGCACGTACCTCGTGCGCACGTCCAGGTTCACGCGCCTCGCCAGGGCCGTGCAGCTCGACTTCGAGAACCCGCCGGGCTTCTACGCCGGGGGCTGGAAGAGCGGCTACGTCCTCGTCTGCGTGCCCTGGCTCGCCAAGGCGGAGTGGCACGCCTTCTCCGTCTTCCAGCACCCGACGCTGCCGGACCACTCGTCCGTGTGCATGGCCGTCGGCGGCGACTGGACGCGCGCGCTCCACGACGCCGTGTCGCTCCGGCCGACGACGCGGCCCGTCTGGGTCGCGGGCCCGCGCCACTCGCCCTACGCGTCGTCGTTCAAGGCCGACAACATCATCACCGTCGCCTCCGGCATCGGCATCACGCCCGCGCTGTCCGTGCTCGCGTCGCAGGACGAGAGCCGGCGCGTGAACCTCATCTGGATCTGCCGCGACCCGTCGCTCGTCGAGTTCCACCTCGAGGCGACGCGCTTCCCGGCCAACGGCTGGACGCTCGTCTACTACACGGGCCGGGAGCGCAAGCTCGCGCTCCGCTCCGCGGCGCGCTGCCGCGGACCGTGCTCGTCTTCTGTGCGCGGCCGCGCCTCGCGGAGGCCATCGGCGAGGTCGTGGGCGGCATCGAGCTCGGGCTGGGCCTCCCGGAGGCCATGCTCGAGGAGGCCGAGGTGACCAAGGCGCGGTCCGCGCGGTGGCGCGCGCCGGCGCCGCCGCGCGCGGCGCCGGAGCCGCCGGGCGCCGAGCTCGAGCGCGCGCTCTACGCGACGTGCCCCGCGGTCGCGCCCGAGCCCGGCGACGGCGACGCGCTCGACGCGGCCGGCCTCGACGAGCTGTTCCGGACGCTCGCGCCGGACCTCGCCGAACGCGCGGCAGACTTCTTAGGCGCGTGCCCGACGCGCGCCGCGCTCCGCGCCGCGGCCGAGGCCGCGGCGGCGCGCCTGAACGCCTTCACCGTCGACCTCGACGAGTGCGGCACGCTCGTCTGCCGCGACACGCTCGTCGGCCGCGACACGCTCGTGCCCTTCGCGACGCCCGCGGACGCCGGCCCCGACGGCGACGGCGACGTCGAGGCCCCGCCGACGCGGAACCCGCTCGCGCGCGGCGACGGCGGCTGCGTCGAGCTCGCGCGCGCGCCCTCGCGGCGCCGGTCCAGCGCGCACTGGCTCGCCGCGCCGACGCCGCTCGACGCGTTCTCGCCGTCGTCGGAGCGCGGCGCGTTCCTCCCGTCGTCGGGCGCGCTCGAGGACCTCGTCGACCCGGAGCGCCTCCGCACCTGGCTCATCCTCTACTGCGGCGGCGCCCAGCCCGTCGTCGACGCCCTCACGCGCGTGTCCGCGAAGACGGGCATCAAGCTCAAGGTCGAGAAGTTCGACTGGTGACTCGCGCGCGTCGACCGCCCTGGCGCCGTGGTGTGTCGCCGCCCGTCGGCCCCGGCGTCGCCGAGATGGGGGCCTTACGTTCGCCCCGCCGACGCGCGGCGCCTACTTGTGGCACTTGCGCTCCGCCGCGTCGCCGTCGAAGTTGATGTCGAGGCGCGCGCCGAGGCACTCGCCGCGCTTGTACGCGAGCATCATCTCCTTGAACTCGGCGAAGTCGCTGAGGCCCAGGAGCAGGTCGAAGACGTCGCCCGTGATCTCCTCTCGTCGCTCCGCGAGCTGCGCCATGAAGTGTTGGAGGTCGAAGCCCGCGAGGCTCGCCTGGAGCCGCGCCTCGACCTCGGCCTCCATGAGCGCCGCGTAGTCCTGGAAGAGGCCGAGGTACTCGTGCTTGTTCTCGTCGCCCTCCTCGAAGACGTGGGCGTGGGCCCGGCAGAAGGCCGTCTGCGCCCGCGAGAGGTCGTCGCCGACGAGGATCTCCTCGAGGACGCCGACGGCCTCGTCGAAGGCGGCGTCGTCGCTGCCCGCGTCGCAGGCGAAGACCTCCTCGTCGTCCATGCCAAGGTCGCGGCGGGCGCGGCGGGCGGCGCGCGGAGGTCGCCGGCGGCGGCTGCGCAGCCCCGTCGATTTGGATGCTCCAGCCAACCGCGCGGCGCATAAATGCTTCAACGCCGCCAATATTTCCCCTAGGGATCCCTATACAATAGTAAAACGCTCTTGCGCAATGCTGCCCTTCCCGCGGCTTTGCCGCCCGTAACACCGCGCGCGCGGCGGCTCCGCTGCCGGCCAGGCGCGCGCGAGGCCGCCGCGCTCACCGCGTGGCCGCCGCGCTCACCGCGCGGCCGCCGCGCTCACCGCGAGGCCGCCGCGCTCATCGCGAGGCCGCCGCGCTCGCCGCGAGGCCGCCGCGCGCCGATGGCCGGCGCCGGCGCGCAGCAGCAGCCGCTGCGCTGTGGCGACCAGGTCTACCTTGAGATCAGCCGCGGCGAGGCGACCTGCCGCGTCCACGCCGACGTGCTCAAGCTCGGCGTCACCCTGAACGCCGGCGGCGACGCCGGCGACTTCGAGCTCGACGGCCGCTTCGCGGTCTACCCCGCGGGCCGCTTCGCGGCGCAGGCCGAGGCGCGCGCGCGGAGCCGGTCGACGCGGCGCCGCGAGGCCCGCGGCGACGAGGAGCGGCGCCTCGCGCGCGCGCGGGCCCGCGAGGAGCACGCGGCCAACGAGCGGCGCGTCGACGCCGTCGCCGCGGGCCGCGACCGCGCGCCGCTGCGCTACGGCGACGCCGTGCAGCTGCGGCACGTCGCGACGGGCTGCTGGCTCGAGGAGCGCGGCGCGGGCGACGACGGCGCCGGCCCGCGCGGCGGCGACGCCGCGGCCGCGGGGCGCCTCGGCCTCGACGACGGCGCGCGGCGCGCGGGCCACCCGCGCTGCGTCTTCGAGCTCGCGCCGGCGTTCCGGAGCCAGCACGAGGGCTCGTCCGTGCTCCACGGCGACGAGGTCGCGCTCACGTCCGCGTCGGGGGCCGTGCTCGGGCCGGGCGCCGGCGACGACGCGGCGCTCTGGCCCGCGGACCGGCGCGGCGCGCGGCGGCGGCGGTGCCGCCTCGCGGCCGCGCCGGCGCTCGCCGTCGGGCCGCTCGCGCTCGCGGGGCCCCGCGCATTCTTCCACGAGGAGCGGCAGAAGTTTCCTGTCCGCGGATACGCGCGACGCGCTCTGCCGCGAGGCGCGGCGCATCTTCTTCGACGGCGCGCGCGCGCCGCGGGACCTCCGGCCCCAGCTCCGCCGCACGGGCGCGGACAAGGACGTCGACGCGACGGGCCGCGAGCTCTGGCTCCTCGAGGCCGCGCCGCCGCGCGCCGGCGCGCCCGCGGCGCGCGGCGCCGCGCGCGTGCGCGTGCGCCACGTGTCGTCGGCGCAGTACCTCGCGCGGGGCCCCGGCGGCGCCGCGCGGCTCCTGCCGGCGCCCGACGGCGCGTCGTGCGACCTCGTCCTCGAGCGCGTCGCCCGGGACCGCGGCGGCGCGGGCTCGAGGAGCCAGAGCTCGCGGCCCGTCGCGTCGACGTCC